ATAAGATGGTTGCTGCGAGGCGACTGCGCAGCCACGGCTGGCGGTGCGTGAAGCCTCCAGCGAGGGCGCGGGCGAAGGGGCGCGGGGCGCTCCTGGGGGCGGCGTGAGAGGCTGCTCCGGCTTCCCAGGCCCCCCAGCACCTCCCCTGAGTCCTCGAAGCTGGCAGGCGGGGGCGCAGCGGGCAGGGCGCACAGCGCGCAACTGGGCGGACGACCACAGCTGCTCCTGACCTCCCGCAGGACTCCCGGGACACCACTCCCTGCTTCCCCGGCTGTCCCGTGACCCCCTCGGCCCCTCTTGGCGCCTCCCTGTGTTCCCAGCCCCAGGCGGCAGCGGCAGGAGGAGCGCGTGGTGGCTTGGAAGCCCCGCTGCTCGGTGATCCCCGCGCCCACGTTGCCGGCTATGCCGGGAAGCCCCTTCTAGAGTCCCCCGGGTCCTCGTGGCCTGGCGGGGGCAGCACAGCATGCTCGGCATGAAGACCTGGTCGTCCCTGCTCCTGAACCTCAGTAAGTGCGGGGCTCGCCGCCCGCGGAGAGGGAGAAGGGGAGGGCCAGGGATGGAACTTTCCGGGGACGCCGCCCACCACGCCTGGCACACCGACCCCGGATTACCTCCAGGTCATGCACGTGGTACCCCCGGGGCGCTGCGGGGCCGCCTCTTCATCTTGTCAACTCAGAAAAGAAGCCAATCGATTTATTTTTGAAAGTAGAAAAGCTCCATCTGCCTGCCTGTCTGGCAGCGCCTGGGGCACGTCCAGGGGTCTAGGGGCTGGCGGATGAGAAGTGTGGAGAATCACCTTCAGATTTTATCCAGGCGAGGTGGCTGGCCTGCACAGGCCTTGCCGCTGTCCAGGGGCCTGTGTTATGACTAGTTAGCAAGCTGTGGTGGGAGTGTCAACTCCATCTGGCCCCTTTGTGTCCAGGGGACCAGGATCCAGAAGCAAAAAATGGGAGAGAGGTTTTCTCTCGCTCTTTGTATGCACACAAGTGCGGAAGAGGGGTGGGGTATGTGGCTTAAACTGTGTTTCACGACAACTTGCTCCCTTCCCACGAGGCACTGGCACCTCACCTGGGCCGACGCTAGCTAGCCCTCTGCGTGGGAGCACTTTCTCACCGTGTCAAGGTGATGACCTCCCAGTTGCTGGTGCATTTATTAGGTGGCGAGAAAGGAAGGCGTAAGCCAGCTGTGGGCAGTACTGCGTCAGTCCCTGTCTGAGATGGTTTAGCAGGACTCTGAGGCCCAGGGACACCCCTAGGAGCAGAGGGTGTGAATGTGGCATTGGGCAGGGCGAGGGACCTGACGTCCTTGGCTGGAGGGGCAGGTGGAGGGAGTGATGGAGAGAGGGCAGCAGTGAACAGTAGCTCAGGTTCCCAAGGTTCCTTCAGGGTGATTCTAGTCACAGAGGATGGGTGGGATGATGGCTTCAGCATGGTCCCTCTTCTGGGAAAGGTTGGACATCCTGACCTCCAAATGCCTCTCCCGCTGGCCTTTTCTTCCAGGTGGGCCAGTTTTGGGGGAGGGGAGTGGCTGGTGGAACCCACCTGGCCCCAGAGAGCCCCCTCTTGCTCCCCTCCCCCTCACCCAAAGCTGCTGGGGTCCCCCAATCCCCCTCCTCCATGCTTCCCCTCCCTTACAGCCCTGCGTCTCTCCGTGTATACCTCTCTGCCTGTTTGAACTGCAGCTTTTAAAGCTTTTTGCCTTTTGAAAACTCAGGGGGGAACAGTTGCTTGTGGAGAGGTCGTGAACAGTTGATGATTATAGTCCAGTGGGTAGAAAGAGCTTAAAACAAATCCCCATCCATCAGATGTCAGCTTAGGCGGTTTCCAGCGCTCTCCTGTGGGGGCCAGGGTGGGGGCGGCAGCATAGAGGAAGGGAGGGCTTCATTTCTTTCCACTAAATGAACCTACAAAACTGCCTCTCTTATTCAGGTGTCTGATCTTCACTCCCCTCTGCTGGCTCCTTCTGATCTCCCTTCCTCCAGGAGCTGGCAGAGGTGGAGACAGTGGAGGGTTCCCCCCGCCCCAGGACCTTGGCAGCCCCAGAAGATTCCTCACCATCTGTGTAGCCTTGGCCAAGTCACATGGCATCTGGGAACCTTAGTTTCCCAGAGCATACAGGGAGGACAGTCACGAGAGTGTGCACCACCATCTGCCCAGGGAACGATGTCCTTGGCCCCACGTGTTCAGTGGTGAAATCTGAGGCTTCTCGCTGGCCCATGGCATATCACCTCTCTGGAGGTGGAAGAGCCTCACTTTGTTCTCAGACACCATTGAAAGAGGCAGGGAAGGGGAGGCTGGCTGAAGCAGCCTGTGTGAAGAGCTGGATCAGCTGCTCAGGGTCTCCAAGGAGCCCCTTGCAAGCACAAGTGAGGGTTCACTTTGTGCAGGCAGCATCCTTTGCCTGCCGTCGCACGTCAGGCTGCATGGCACCTTCAGGAGGGAGGTGCTAGCTTTGCGCCTTCTGGATTTTGCAGGTGAGGAAACTGAGGCTCAGAGAGGTTCAGCTCACTCCTCAGGGTCATACAGCTGTTGAGGTGGTGAGGGTGCCTGGGCAGTCCCACTCCAAGGCCATGTCCCTGGTCAGCCATCTTTGGCCCCGGGGTGCCTCTTCCTCTAGCTCCAAAGAGATCTGGTCACCTCACTCTGTAGCAGTCTTAGACTGCCCCTTTCTGCCCACAAGACGAAGCCGTTGAGTGAGAAGTCTAGCCTCCTCTGTGACCTGCTTCCTGCCTACCATTCAGAGTCTCGCCTTCTCCAGCCCTCCAGCCAGCTGACCCCCATGCCTTATCCTCTTGTTCTCGCCATGGCCTGGTTATTCCTGTCTCTGCTTAGTGCCCTGGCCACTAGGGAGGCACATAGAAGAACAGCGAAGAGTGCCAGACCCCTAAGCTCCTATCCTCCTACCTTCTCGTTGCTGTGTGACTTGAGGCAGGTGACCTGTGTACACGGGGACTGTGGTTCTGCCTTCCTAAGAATAAGCGCATCAGTCAAGTTAATAATAGTGCCTGCGCGCTGTGAGGTTAATAAATGTCAACCGCTACTACCTTTTCTTCCACCTGGAAAGCCCTTCCAGCTTCTGTCTGCGGTCTCCCCTGTACCTCAAGGCCTAGCTTGAATGCCACCTCCTCTGAGAAGCCTTCCAGATTCTGCCCAGCCGGAAGCTATCTCTCCTGCTGCCTCCTGTCCTCATGGCCAGTATTGTTTTTCTAGGTGAAATCCATACTTCTCTACCTGTCAGACAAAAATTCCATGAGGAAGAATCTTTTTCATTCTCACCTCAGAATCTCCCAAGGTGTTGAGTATGTGATAAATGCTTGGATGACTAGAGGGAGACCATTTTTCTGGCTATACCAGTGTTTGGTGCCACTTCCTCCATGTTCAGTGGGCGCTTGGCTCAGACAAATATTGGAATAACATCTAGAGTCCATGTGGACCCTTAGAGATGCCTTCAGATCATTTCTAAGTCCCGTAAGTGGCAAAGCCCCAGCCCTGAGGGCCCCTTTCTTGGATCCAGGAGAGTAGGCTCACCTCTGGACAGCTGGCCACCTGTGGGGGAATGTTAGAACAGGGCACTCTGTGGACCATGCGGTCAGTTGTTAGAAGGACATGGGGTGGATTGCCCCTAAAGCCAGGTTGGGGAAACCCAGCTGCTAGCCACTCTGCAAGGGGCAGGGTGCTGTCATTGTGTGTTGGGGTGAGAGGCGGGGGCAGCCTGGGCACAGCCTTGGTTGTGGGATTATTTCTAAAACAACGTCCTCGGGAACCCCCAGAGGGTTGCAGGGGCTGTCTGAACCCTGTGGCCCAGACCAGGCTCCTCCTCTGACATTCCACAGCCTCAAAGGGTCACGGTGGACCCTGGCAGCCGAGGGAGGTGGGGATGGCATTCATAAGCCCTTTGGGGAGGGGCAGGGGGCAACACCACTGCCAGTGGGAAGACTCCCTGGGGGAGGCAGTGGGGGTGACATCATTTGTGCTTGTGTAAACCGGACAAGCCACTTCCAGGTTTGGAAATGTTTTGCCTTATTTAGGGGAAAAAATTTCTAGAGACCCTCAGCCAGGAAGAAAGAGGCTCAGCAGCCAGGTCGTCATGCTGGGTCCTTGCTAGTTAGTGTAGGGCAGGGGTCCCCAACCAGTACTGGTCCATAAACTGTTAGGAACTAGGCTGCACAGCAGGAGGTGAGCAGCAGTTGAGCAAGTGAAGCTTCATCTGTATTTGCAGCCGCTCCCCAGCGCTAGCATCACCGCCTCAGCTCCACCTCAGATCATCAGGCATTAGGTTCTCTTAGGAGCACCAGTCCCTGGTGCCACAAAGGTTGGGAACCGCTGGTGTAGGGCACCTGCATCTCCACTATTACCTGGTTTAACGATGAGGAGCGCTCGCTTGGAGCCAGATGACCTAGGTTTGCATCCTTGATCTGTTCTTATTGGCTGTGTGCCTTTGGGCAAAACATTTAACTTCTCTGTGCCTCAGTTTTTCATCTGTAAAAGGAGAAATAATAATAGCACTTACCTTGTTCCAAGTAGCTGTTGCTGCATAATAAACCACCCCAACACAGTAACAATAGCAAACGTTTAGTTTGCTCATGAATCTAGGAGTACAGTTTATAGTTCTCAGGGTCTCATGGGGTTGCAGTCAGTTGGAGGCTGCTGGGCCTCTCCCGTCCCCTCCACCACCTTTCCTGACCCAGCCTCAGAGGTCACACAGAGTCGCTTCTCCAAGGCAGCCACCAGAGTCACCTCAGGCTCAAGGGGAGGAGACAAAGACTTCATCTCCAGTTGGGAAGAGGGTCAAAGAATTTGTGGTCATGTTTCAGAACCCCCGCATACCCTCTAGGGGTGTTGGACTGAGTCGTTAATACATGTAAATAATGCTGCTTTGTTTTCTAGGTAACAGAGGTTACCTAGTAAACATTAGATGTCCTCAGAGCTGGGTCCCCAAGAAATTCTTTGCACCTAAAGAGACAAGGGGGTCATGCAGAGGAGAGCATGTGGTGTGGGGCATGGGTGGTCATAGATACTGCTCCTGAGTTAAGAAGCCCTCTCTGCCCACCCCCTTGTTTTGTTTTCACAGTGACTCTTGACCTTTGAAATCTGTTCTCTCCCTTTCTGCCTGTCTCCTTGACCTTCAGAATGTCGTCGTCCCTGGAAATCCTTGACAGAGGTTTCATGGGAGGGTGCCTCTCTACTGTGGGGTCTCTGATGTGTTACATAATGTGTCAGAGATCTTTGGACCACAAGGCTAGGGGAATGCCCTGGAGCAATAGGGAAGATTCCAGAAGCAAATGCGTGACTTGGGCAATGCCTTCCACTTCTTGGGGCCTCTGTTCCCTAACTGTGAGAAAGAGATTGATGTCTAGGAGGAATATGAGCTCTGGAAGAGAAATGAGGTAATGCTCATATTGGCATGCTGGCGACATTGTAGATCTTCTGTACTGGGGTGAATAGTGTCCCCCAAAATTCATGTCTACCCAGAACCTCAGATGTGACCTTATGTGAAAATATGCAGTTGGTTAAGGATCTGGAGATATCAGCCTCCATTAGGGTGGGCCCTAAACACAGTGACCGATGTCTTTATCAAAAGAGAAAACAGACACACAAAGAGGCCATGTGAAGACGGACGCAGAGGCCGGAGGGATGCAGCCCCAAGCCAAGGAATGCCTGGCTGTGGGGACCTGTGTCCCACTGCCCTTGGAGGCTGGGAATTCATTTTTCCTCTCTGGTCTTCCGTTCAGGCAGGAGGAATGAGCCGATGGGAAGGATGACCTCTTCAGTCTGAAATGAGCACAGTAGTCCTTACTCTTAGTAAGCCTCCTTACCTGTCACCTATTTGTGGAAGGTTAGGGACTTCCAAAGGTGGGGGGTAAGATGGAGAGAGGAGCCAGGGCCCTCTGCCTATTAGAGGCCACAGCCAGGCATCGGGGTGCCCAGGACCCTGTCCTTACCACGATCTCTGACAGCAGTGAGGGGGCCCGAGGTCTCGTCACTCTTGCTCATCCCCGGCTTGAGCTGCCAGCCTCTCTGTCCCCAGGTCCTCCCTTGGCCTTGCTCTAGGTAAGGCTCACAGAGTGCCAGAGCTGGGGTCAATCCATGTTCAGTTGTTTATCACCTTCCACGCTCTTCTAGAAGGTCAGCAACATGTGCCAGCCAGTCTGTTCCTGCTGCATCCCCAGCACCCAAAACATGCCAGACTGAGTAGGCACTGAATCCTTGACTGACTTGAAAGGACCCATGGGGCCAGCAGGGGAGGTGGGGTGGGTCTGCCTCCCTCACCTGACCTGAGACCCCTGCACCTACAGCTGGGCCCTCTGGACTAGGTAGCCCTTCAGCTGTCTAACCTGTGAATGTCTCAGCAGCCATTAGACAAACCGCATCCAGCTACGGGGTGGAAATGGAAGTTGAGGCCTGGAGCAGGTCAGGGCTTCTCTGAGGCCTGATGGGCAGGGCAGAGTCTCTCCCTAGTGTCATTGCCATTTGGGGTCTGAGCTGCGGCACAGGCCTTTTATATCCAGCCACTGTGTCCTGGGGTGCTCTGAGTGCCACCTTCACCTGTTTGCCTTTGGATTTTCTTTGATGCCTCTTGTTGGGGAGCTAAACTCATACCAGTGACCCCGCCGGACAGAGCTGAGTCCCTTGGCAGAAAGCAGTTATGGAGGGCTGCGTGGGTGCCCCGGAGTGGGACTAGGTGAACTGGCAGGGCCCACGGCCATTGGGCTTCCCTGGGGGGAACCAGCCTCTTCTCCCCCAGACACCAGAGTGGAGAAACCCTGGTTATCCAGTCGATGTTTCTTTTAATTACAGACAATTAAAACAGTGTCATGGGTATCAGTTCGGTCAGTTTGGAGGAAGGAGAGAGCCCAAACAGAATCAAAAAATAAAATAAAACCTGGTGGATTTTTAATAGCGATTATCTCCTGACACATAGTGTGTTGCCATCTGGCAGACACACAAGCCCACTGAAGTTTGATGCTGTGGGGAGAGGGGCAGCGCAGGCTTCCCGCTGGCAGCCCAGAGCCAGGCCCTCCCTCCATGGGCTGACCCCAGAGCATGTCCGAGGTCCCCACCTGCCTGCTCTGGGCTTTCTCAGCCTGAAGATGTTCTAGCTCCAGTATCAGTGGCCACAGTTTAAAAATGAAGAACACAGCATTCGTTAACTTTGTACCACATGCCCACGTTTGTTAGGCTTTCACTTGTGGCTAGATTCCCTACCCGCCATGGGCCTTGATGGTCGGGGATGAAAAGTTTGGGGTGAAAATCTTCAAATGGGTGGTTACATCTTACGGCACTTGGACACTATTGATGTTCGGGGTGGGTACCATGTGGTGGGCCGTCCTGCGCGTTGCAGGATGTTGAGCAGCATCCCTGGCCTCTACTCACTCAATGCCAGTAACATCCTCCCTGTGGTGACAGTCAGAAATGTCTCCAGACATTACCCAGTGTCCCCCGAAGGCAAAATGGGTCAAGCTGAGAACCATGGGCTTAATGTAAATGTATAAGTTTCCTGTGGCTGCCTTAATAAATTTCCACAAACTGGGGGCTTAAAACAACAGAAATTTACCTTCACAGATCCTGGAGGCCAGAAGTCTGAAATAAGGTGCCAGCAGGGCTTTGCTCCCTCCAATGATTCTAGGGGAAGAGCCTTCAGCCTCTTCTGGCTTCTGGCGGCTCCACGTGTGGCAGCATCACTGCAGTATCTGCTTCTGTCTTCATGTGGCCTCTCTGTGTATCTCTCTCCTCACATGCCATTCTCTCTCTCTCTCTCTCTCTGCCCAGATTCCCCTCTTCTTGTAAAGACACCAATTTGGATTGAGGGCCACCCTACACTAGTATGACCTCATCTTATTATGTCTGCAAAAAAACCCTATTTCCAAATAAGGTCACGTTCTGAGGTTCTGGGTGGTTGTGAATTTTGGGGACACTGGAACCCAGTACCATAGAGGCTGGTTGATGGATGAGCTCCATGCAGCACAGAGAAGGGAGGCCCAGTTAGCCTGGGGGTGGGCAGATGGAGTCTATGTAGGTAGTAGCTGTGCACTGAGGTTTAAGACCTTGCCTCACCTGGAAAAAAGGTGTTAGTAGAGCCTCCCTGTGGCCAGCTCTCCTCTTGCCCATCTGGAGAGGTGGGTCTCAGCAAACTCAGTTCACAGACCTGGAACCTGAGTCATGGGCTTGGGGCCCTCCCTAAGGCTGCCCACGTTAGTATTTCCAGAAGTTGGAGGGCACATGTGCAGCCCTTTCCTCCACCTGCGGTGGCCTCAGCTATAGGAGTTGGGTTACAGACAGCGGTCAAGGCTGGCCCTGTCACTTGATATTCGGTTGCCACCTGCTGTGGGTTGAATTGTGTCCACCAAATATATTCAAGTCCTGGAACCTTATCGTACCTTATGAATGTGACCTTATTGGGAAATAACGTTAAGACGAGGTCATATTGGGTACAATGGACCGCAGTCCTGTGACTGGGGTCAGACACACAGTGACAAACAGACATGCAGAGAGAATGCATGTGAGCATGAGAGCAGCCTGGCTGGTGGGGGCAGAGGCAAGGGGGAAAGAGAGAGCAAAGCTGGGATTCTGTCCATGAGGGGCTGAGAAGAGAGGGGTCCGCAGGGCCCCCTGGAATAGGGTCAGTTGATCCATTGGGGATGTTATTACAAGTCACAGTTTATCGTCCCTGGGTGCATTAGCACCCAGGCATGGGGACGTGGGGTCACCCGACTGAATCAGGAGATAAAGTAGAATTGTCTAGAGAACAGAGCCAAGCAGGGGACACCAAGGTTCAAGCCTTGAATTGGTCAGCGCCACAGGGTATGTCCAGTGAATTAGAGAAGGAGACAATTGAGGATGAAGGATGAAAAGCAACATTCATTTTGGAAACTAGCACAAGAGTTTTACAGATCCTGCTCCCTCAGCCCTCCCAGGGGCCCTGGAGGCTCAGCTTCCAGGCAGAGGGCAGAGGAAGAAGATAGGAAAGAGGGAGAGAGGGGGACGAGCAGAAGGGGATGAGGGGGCAGGAGGAGGGGATGAGGGGGCAGGAGGAGGGGATGAGGGGCAGGAGGAGGGGATGAG